CTCGGGCTTCTCAATAAACCGATATGGCACTCCCCCTCTCTGGGGCTTGCCATGCCCGCCTCGGGCTTCTCAGTACTGCCCCACTCTGGGGCTGGGGTCTATGTACCCCGCATACAACCCGGGGTCTGTTCCCCGCCCGCAACCCACTGGTTGCGCTCAGGGGCCCCACACCTCTGGGGTCCCTATGAGGCCTCCTCCAACCCCTACAGCCTCACCCAAGCCTCCGGTCTAATATGCAAGCCTGAATATAAACTAGAGCCTCCTGGCTAAACCATAGTGCCCCATCCTCTCAGGGCTATAGTGAGCTGTACTTGCAAGTCAGGCCTCTTGCTACATCTCGGCCAAGGGAGCTCCTGCCTCTCTGGTTGCTGGCAGGGAACTGCCAGCCTGGTCTCAGCCCTGGGCTTTATAAGGGCCAGGCCCTGCCTCCTACAGGCAGCTGGCTCCCCTTAGCTGCCCCGGCAACCCGCAGCTGGGCTCGTTACCCTGGCAACACTCAGCTGGGCTCGTTATGACTTGCCAGGGCTCTGTCTCTCTCCCTGGCAGTTTCTCCCCTCTAGGAGCAGAGCACCGAGGTGCTCTGCGACAGAGAATAATCCCTTCCTTTGACCTGCTGGCAACACTTCTACTGACAGCCCAGTATACCATTAGCCTTCTTGGCAACAAGGGCACACTGTTGGCTCACATTCAGTTTGCTGTCCACTGTAGCCCCCAGGTCCTTTTCTGCAGAACTGCTGCTCAGCCAGTCAGCTCCCAGCCTGTACTGGTGCATGGGATTGTTCCATCCTAAGTGCAGGACTTTGCACTTGTCCTTGTTAATTACTGCCCTCTAAATCCAATGCTCCAGGCAGTTTTCTATCCACCTTACAGTCTATTCAACCACTTCTTTACCTTGACCATGAGAATGTTGTGGGAGACTGTATCAAAAGCCTTGCTAAAATCAATCAGGACTTATCATAGAGATGGTATTAGACCAACAAGATTTTTGTGGAAATAAAAGAAAAAAATTGCTAAAATCAAGGTATATCACATCCAGTCGTCTCCCCACACCCAAAGAGCCAGTCACCTCATTGTAGAAGGCAATCAGGCTGGTCAGGCATAACTTGCCCTTGGTGAATTCATGCTGACTGTTCCTAATCACCTGCTTCTCCTCCAAGTGCTTTGAGATGAATTCCTTGAGGATCTGCTCCATGATTTTTCCTGGGACTGAGGTGAGAATGTCTGGTCTGTAGTTTGCTGGATCCTTCTTTTTCCCTTTCTTAAATATGGGCACTATGTTTTCCCTATTCCAATCATCCAGGACCTCTCCTGATCACCATGAGTTTTTGAAGATGATGGCCAGTGGTTCTGCAATCTCATCAGCCAACTGTCTCACCATCCTTGGGTGCCCCCTGTCCAGCCCTATGGACTTGTATACATCTGGGTTTTCTAAGGTTTTCCCTAACCTGTTCTTTCACCACTGTTGGCTGCTTACATCCTTCCCAAAATGTGCTGCCCAGTGCAGTAGTGTGGGGTCTGACCTTGCCTGTGAAGACTGAGACGAAGAAGGCATTGAGCACTTCAGCCTTTTCTGCATCCTCTGTCACAAGGTTGCCCCCTCCATTCAGTAAAGGACCCATACTCTCTCTGATTCTCCTTTTGCTACTGACATACTTGTAGAAACCCTTCTTGTTATCCTTCATGTCCCTTGCTAACTGAAAGTCCAATTGCACTTTGGCCTTCCTGACTTCATCCCTGCATGCCTGAGCAATGCTCTTATACTCCTCCCTATGAATTTGTCCAAATTTCCGCGTCTTATAAGCTTCCTTTTTCTGATTTAGATTTCTGAAGAGTTCCTTGCTAAGCCAAGCTGGTCTTCTGCCACTTACTAGTCTTCCTGTGCATTGGGATGGTTTGTTCCTGCACTTTCAGTAAGGCTTCCTCAATGTATAGCCAGCTGTCTTGGACTCCTTTCCCCCTCAGATTGGCTTCCCAGAGGATCCTGCCCGTGAGTTTCCTGAGTGAGCTGAAGTCTGCTTTTTCTGAAATCCAGGGTCCTTACTGTTCTGCTTTCCATGCTTTCTTTCCTCAGGATCCCGAACTCAATCATCTTGTGGTCACTGCTGATCAAGTTGCTATCCACTACTACATTCCCCACCAATTCTTCCCTGTTTGTGAGCAGCAGGTCAAGAAGAGCATGGCCCCCAGTTAGCTGCTCCAGCACATGCACAATGAAGTTGTCCCCAGCACTCTCCAAAAACTTCCCAGATTGCCTGAGCATTGCTGTTTTGCCCTCCCAGCAGACGTCAGGGAGATTGAAGTCCCCCATGAGAACCAGGGCTTGTGATTGGGAAGCTTCCGCTAAGTTGTTTGAAGAAAATCTCATCCACTACTTCTGTCTGGTCTGGTGGTCTATAGCAGACACCCACCATGACATCACCCTTGTTCCTCTCTCCTCTGACCCTAACCCAGAGACTCTCAACGGGGCTATCTCCAGTTTCATACTGGAGCTCTGAGCAACCATATGGTGCTTTTACATATAGTGCAATTCCTTCTCCCCTTCTCTCTCTGTCCTTCCTGAACAGTTTGTACCCATCCATGACAGTTCAGTAGTCATGTGAGCTATCCCACCAAGTCTCTGTTAACCCAATCGTGTCATACTTCTGTGACTGTGCAAAGATTTCCAATTCTTCCTGCTTGTTTCCCAGGCTCTGTACATTTGTGTACAGGCATGTTAAGTAACTTGTTGATTACCCTGATTTCTAAGGCAGTATGAGAGCACCTCCCCTATTGCCCTCTATTGCGTGCACTTCCTCCAGGTCTCCCACGTCCCTAATTACCTCAGGGCTCTGGTCTCCATCCCTCAGCAAACCTAGTTTTAAAGCCCTCCTCATTAGGTTAGTAAGCCTGTCTGCAATGATGCTCCTTGTGGTTTCTTTTTGTCCAGTCCTCCAATTTGCCAAGGTCTGTCAGAATCCTAGATCTACCCTCCATCGTATCTACTATTGTCCCCCAGCTTGGTATCCATGAACTTGATAAGGGTGCACTCCATCCCATCTTCCAGGTGATTGAAAATATTGAACAAAACCAGCCCCAGGCCCAGCCACTGGGGCACTCCACTTGACACTGGCTGCCAACTAGACATCGAGTCATTGACTACTACCCTCTGATCCCGACAATCCAGCCAGTTTTCTGTCCACCTTATAGCCCATTCATTCAGCCCATAATTCCTTAGCTTGCTTGCAAGAATATTATGGGAGACCATACCAAAAGCCTTGCTAAAGCCAAGTTATATCATGTCAACTTCTCTCCCTGGCATCCACAATGCCAATCATCTCAAAAACTTAGTTTATAAGGGCCACTTCAGGAGCAAATTTGTGTTCAACATCATAATAAAAAAAAAGGGGGGGGGTAGGCAGGAGGCAGGGTAAAGATGAACTTGTTCTGAGAGGCATGACTTTTTTCTAGACTACAGTCTACTTTGAAAATTAAAATGCTGATGCTATAAATGGTTAAAGGTTACATGAAAAGGTTAAGGGTGACATCATCTTGGTCTAGACATAGATACAGGGTGAACAGAAAATTTGAGAAAAGGGGGCTCTTTAGGCTAGCAGAGGTATGACAAGAGCCAATGGCTATATATTGAAGCTAGACAAATTCAGAATAAAGGAAGGGTTTGTGCTTTCTTCTTGTGATTCCTTTTCTTTTGGAAACTCGGAGAATCTAATAAAGGAAACAAGTTTAATTTTCAAGAATTACATAGTAAGTTGTAGTATTCTACATTTTTTATAGGTCCCAAACCACCTACTCATCATTAATTAAAATGCCTTGCTGTCACATGTATTAAGCATCCTGCATTTCAAAATGCCGATGTGGCACTTTAACACATCAGTTGATGAGTTTTAGTTAAAGCGCCCCCATCGTCATTTTGAAATATTGAATGCTTAATACACATGATGATAAGGCACGCTGGAGCATTTTAATTAGATTTATCCAGCAGACTCAATTAATCTGCTCCAACGCAGTCAAATTAGAACACTTTAGAGCACGTCTATTGGCACCCCTTTTGAGTTACCTTGGTGGCTTTCGAAATAAAAATGTTTTAATTTTCAAATATTCAATCACAAGTTCCCACATCATTCATGTAAAACTTGATTTTATTAAAATTACCTGATTTTTTTTACCATGACAACAAGTCAAATAGTATTTTTTCAATCAACTGTACTTCTAGAATGTACAATAGTTTTGTGCTGCTAAAGTGAGATTTAAGTGGCCAGATATAGTCATTACACTTTTACCGGCATAAGTGCTTGAAAGCCAGTCTAAATGCATAACAGTACAGAAGTTCATCACACCTAGGGTGCCTGTACATGAGTCTAGAGGCTGCTCTGACTCACTGTAATTGTAGTGTGCCAGAGCAGACTCAATTAATCGAGTCGGCTGTAGTGTGGTAATTACCGTGCTCCAGGCAACCTCCATATCTCGTGTATTAGTGTCCCCACACTTCAAAATGGCAAACAGGCACTTTATCTAAAGCTCACTTGATGAGCTTTAGATTAAGCACCCCCACCACTATTTTGAAGTGCAGGGGTGCTAATACGTGAGACACTCTGGGTGCTTGAATTTGAATGGCTCTCAGAGCCACTCTAATTAAAGCACCCCCCCCCCACACACACTCCCAGAGCATGTGTAAAAATGCCCATAGAGTGGTTTTAAAATGGCAGAACCCAGTCTAAGATAGACCTGGATCAATGTGCACTCAAACGTAACCAATTTAGGTTAGATCAGGGAGTCAAACTTCTGTACCAGATCAGTGATTCCCTTGGCTGTTGGTGGGTCCTTCTGCACTGGGCTAAAGTAATTTGTTTAAAAATCTTCCAAAAGCTTTGGAATAAAAACTGCCAGGGTTATTATTAGTTTTGAGAATATTTTATATTAATCTGCTGTTTTGTTTGGCTTACAGGGAAAGCTCTGTCTGGACAGATGTAATTAGGCTGAGGATAGTTTGCTGAAATCCTCTCCGCTAAAGTGATCTTGACAAGCTGTAGTTGCAACCTTAGTTTTACAGACATTGTATTACCAGTGCTACTTAAATGCATACATGGAGAAACAGAAAAAGTTTTTCACTTTCTCTGATGCTTCATAGGCCAGTGACCTTTATAAATGACAGCAAATCTCTGCTGAATGAAGGATGAAGGGAGAGAGGAAAACATTAAGATATTTTGTCCTACTTTTTTGTGGCATGTTGAAAACAATCACAAGGCCTATTTGTCATGCTCTAGCTTTGTCTCTGTTCCCCAGTAGTGTCTGACAGGCTGAATGAAGAAAGTGTAAGTGAAGATGAATTGGCAAAAGGTATCACTTCTGGTCTGTCTAATTTCGTACCAGATGAAAAATATATATAATATCAAGTTGGTTAAGTGAAAGAAATATTAAGATCAAGGAAACTGGTTGGCTAAAATAAGAGCCCTTTGGGCAATGAAAGGACCAAATGAATCAACCAAATCTGTCTCTCATAATTTAAGTACTTCAATTACTGCAAGTTATTTGTATCATTTAAAATAACAACAACCATCTTGGTTCTATTGAAAAGGAACACACGCACATACACGCATGCACAAAGAAGTTCCAGAAGTGCTGGGAAAATTTCCCTAATGGGAAGGATCATTAAATTGTAGACTTATCTCCCAAGGGGAAATATGTCCTTTTGCTTTGAATCATTTAGAACTAAACGCGAGAAGAAAAAAACGTTCAGGCAGACTGTAGGGGAAAATCCAGCATTAGTGGAGGGATTAATGAGATGACCTACTAGGATTTATCTACTTCTAGACTCTGTTTAATGTAAGGACATGCCTGAGGTGGGGTGATAGAAATAGCATAGGGTCTGTAAAGGGCTTTCCTTAGGTAAATGAGCACCAGGTCGCACGTTTTCTGCCAGAATTCTGGGGACAAGTGGTATTTTTGGTCTACAAACTTCTTTCTTCCCATATCAGCAGCTGCCTAGACAAAAGTTTTAAGATCCCCTGGGTAGTACTTATGAGTAGACGTTAAGGCTAAGGTTCTGCTAATGATCCCTATTTTCACCGCCCGGCCCCCCGAATCTACAATCTAGGCATGTGTGGGTTCTATTTCAATTCAGTGCAGCTGACATGCAACATTTACAGTCACCGTGCTAGCTAGCTGTGTGTGATTCCTTTGTACAGATCTGTGGAATACTTTAAGCCTGAAAGATGATAGATAGATCATGCTTGCGATGAACACACGCACATTCCTCTAGTGCTCTTGAGATTCAGGTAAATATAGAAAGCTGTTATTCCATAAAAATGTAACAACAGAATATATATTTATCAGTCAACAAGGTACATGCAGATTCTGAGCAAGTTAAGGCATAAGGTTGATAAAAAGACTCCACACTCATGAAGCATGGGTTTATTAGGAGATAAATTCTATGGGTTCTGAAATATCCCCAAGCCAAATGGACTGCAGCTTTCATCAACTATAAAGTCTGATTATCTTCCAGTTGATGGCAAAGAAAGTTTTGTTCTGGCTTCAATGGGAGAAGGATGAAATGCTTAGTTAAAAAATCCTTTATAAGAAACTAAATCACCAGTCCTGACTCTGATGTCATTTTCAGCAATTCTATGCCAGTATGATTTCACTGACTTCACTGGAGCTATTTCTGTTTAATAGTGTGCACGAGATAAGAACCATCTTCTGTTTTTTGAGAAATCAATGTATTTTTTATGCTGTCAAATTCTTTTTTTTTAATATTTTAAGTTTTATTCAAGTTTCTATTAAACTCTGCTAGCTAAGACCTTAGTTTTCAATGAACAAACATACCTATTTTTGATATTTTTAATGCAATAGTTTAGGGAGTAAGTGACAGAAATATTGCACAAACAAAAGTAAAAAAGACAAAGGTAGGTCCATTCCAAATACTTCAAACAATATCAACATTTTTGGAATGTATAACAAAAATCATTATTTCTTTTTCTACCAACTATGTAGAATAGCAAGTTTTATCCCTTCAGTGCATTCTTTAGGTACCAGATTTCTGTCACAGACACTATTATTTCAAACTTCCTGCCTGTTTGTAAGAAGTAGTCATCAAAAAATAGTGAAAGGCATGACAGAATGTCTAGCTGAAATTATACTCCCACTAAATTGATATGAGGCAGAGAGCGTGGGAGGCATAGAGACAGAGTGTCATCTAGATCTAGATTGATAGACACTGTATGACCTGATACTTCAGGGCAATGGGTGTAACAGTCACTTCATACACAAAGGCCTTAATGTGGTCTACAGAATGATTACTTCAGGTCCTGTTGTTCTTGTACATAATGGTGATAAGTTTTGCATGAAAATGGGGCACTGATGGCTTCTTATTTAGGCTAGAGTTTTTAGGAGCTGCATCAGCTGGTACAAATGCAGTATGATGAGCTGACTGTCGCCCCACTAACTTGGGGATTCTAAAATCAAGGTACTAAGAATCAATACTAAAGTAATAACTTATTTTGATTCCTCATATATGCCCTGCATCTGTTTGTTTGTTTTTTAACCAGTAGCAAATATTGCCAGAGTTTGCTGGGTTTAGCGCAGAGCTTTGTGATAGAGCAATGCTGTTCCAATGGTTGCAGCTTCAGCTCCAGATTTTGACTACCTGTGTTCTGCCACAGACTGCTGGTTTGGCAAGTCAGTTAGTTTCTCAGTGATTCAGTTTCCCTTCTGTAAATTGCACTTCCCTACTTCATTGAGGAGTTGTGAGAATCAAGAAAGATTGTATGGTAATAGAAGCCATGAGATACCTAAAGTAGAATCTCTGTACACACAGTTTATATAGTCCACAAGCCTGGTCAACAATCAGGAAAACCATGTTCTCGGGACATCATATGAAATATCACAAGATCTTGCTTGCTAAACATACAGACAAATGGATCCCATCACAAGGTCTGCCCTGCCAAGCCCCAACCTTAGCTAACCATATCTGCTTTCTCTGTTCTTGCTCTTGGCCTCAGAACTTCACTTATAAAGATCCCATTACCAGACTGACTTTTGCCCCTAAAAAAATCACTCTTTTCTCCTTCAACTTTGTCATCTTCATACCTAAACAACTCTACTTTCTGACTTAAATAAACTGTATCCACCTTTTTTCCCCACCTTTGACTCCCCTTCTATCTCTAAATAGGAACTCACTGCTTCTTTCAAAGTTAATTGCTAAAACACAAAATGACATTTCCTCTCCCCTTAGCTTGACCTTCCCATCCCTCCTCCCTTCATATATTTCCTTCCCTTTTTTGTTCCCGGTACAGATATTTGTTGTCTGCCCTATTCCTATGATACCTCCGCTTGCCACAGTGACCCCATCTCAAACCGTATCCCCTACTTTTCTGTTTAACCTTTTTAATCTCATCCTTTTCCCTGATAAAATAAGCATGACTTGGTATCTCTTCTCTTAAAATCTTACCTGCTTCTCAAAACTAGCCCCTCATCTCCCTACTTTGTTTCCTCACTAAGTTCACTGAATATACCATCTACAATTGCTGTCTGAAGTTTTTCTCAAGTTCCATCCTAGATGCTCTCTAATCCACTTTCCCCAAGTTTATACTTACTACTTCTGAGCCATATCCCAGAACAAGTAATCCATCCTCATCCATCCAACTGCTTTTGACACAGCTGTGCTCCTCTTAATCTTGTTTTTTCTTGCCTACCATAACTGTCCTCTC